GATGGTCTTTCGTTCCAAACATCATCCAAAACGAGAAGAAATTTCTTTCCCATAAGTTCTTCTTTCAGTCTTTTCTGAATTACTTCATGCTGTATACTATGATCAGTGGAACCAGTTATTGTGTCAAGAATTGCTCTTGATACTTTTAGAACATCAAATTCCTGTGGAACACTGACCCAAACTTTAGTATCAAAGTTAGCTTCTTCAAGCCTTGGGTCGTTGAATACATGTTGGGCAAGAGAGGTCTTACCCATCCCACCCATGCCCACAATAGAAAGTATAGATAGGTTGTTGTGAGTGTCCGATGTGAGCCAGTTAAGGACAAATTCTTTGTCATCATCTCTGCCATAGATAACACTTTCATTTGGCAAAGATGTATGTGCTAATTTACTACCGGATCCTGATCCAACCCCAACACCACCAACCTTTTTCAAACCTAGAAAATCGCTTTGGATTGCAAGTTCTTCTAGGTCCTCAATGACTTGTTCCATCATGGGTTCAAATTCAATTTCAAAGAAAGAAGAGTCGAGGGAATTCCACACCTTCTTAGATGCACTCTGAGACTCAGCTTCCACTTGGGTTTTGGAGAGTTCATAATCTATCTCATCCAAGAGATCTTCTGCATCAATCACAACGTCTTTGGCCCTGAGAAGCCAATCTCTGACACGTGGATCTGTGAACTGCTTTTGTTCTGCTTCAAACGCCACAACATCAATGGCTAGCAGCTTCATCTTCAAGTTGCTGAGTTGCTTCTTATGCTTTCTTTGATGAAATATGTCGACAAGACGAAAAGCCAAAGTGTCGATAGTCCTCTCGAGGAAAGTGGAAACTAGAACACCGGTAACCATTTCTACTGCCATGATAACAATAGAGAAGAGAGAGGATGAACGAGACTGAGATTTGAAGTGAAGCTTATGCCTTTGACAAGGTGGAGTGCAATGGAAATAGTGTCAATAAGGTAATGAGATAGGAAAGAAAAAAAAAGTTGTAAATTATTCAAAGATAACAAACCAGTGATATATGTAATGATATAATCAGATTAAAAAAATAAAAGAAAGATAGAAAAAAAAAAGTGATATATCTTGTGATAAGGGATGTAATGAGAAAAAGTAAAAAAATTAAAAATGAAATAAAAATAGGATAAAAAAGTTCAAGGGCATATTAATCCCTCGTTTTTTTTTCTCTTATTTTTCTTAAACTTGTGTGACTTTTTTTTATTAAGTAAATATAAACTATTTAAACACATTCTATATAATTAAGCAAATAAAATGTTTGCTCGGCTTTGTTGAGTTTCTTTTATATTGTTCAAGCATGTTAAGCTCCAAACTTTCTTTTTTTTCTACACTATGTTCTTATGCCAAGCTACCCTGTATTTGTGTGTCAGGTTCATTGTGGTCAGGTAGAGAGATTATAAGGCCTTGATAAAATAAAAGATCTAGAAAGATAGTGAACGTAGATATTACTAATTAAAATAAGAAAAAAGACAAGTTATATAGGGGTGAAGTGAAACACGTTATGAGGATCTAAAACTTCTTGTTGAGTTAGTGGCTATGGATTTGATTCTTGTGTATGATACATGTGATGGAAGCATGTCGAGGCATCAGACAACTTCCTTGAACTAGAGTGCAGGGTAATGGAAATTAATTGAAGCAATGAAAGATAATGCATGTAAGGTGTTTGATGAAAGTGTAAATGAAAGTATGGTGTGTGTTTGGAGCTTTTAAACTCAAAAAGCTTTCCTACTAAGAAAGGAAGCTAGAAGAGAGTGGGTGAATTCAAAATTCAGAGGTGACTTAAGGATATAAGAAGTTAAACAAACAACTCTGCAGCAATTCATTATATCCAAAAGTGAAAAATACAAGAGATTGACTCTCTTATTTATAGGTGAAGATGAATCTTTAATCTCTACCAAATTCCCTCTAAAAATTCAAATATAATTCGAGCTTGGGAGCCAAGCTAGCTGGATCACGCTTCTCACTTTAAACACACATGGAAAACATGTAAAAATTGAAATCTGTGGCAGTGGTTGGCCGCACAGTGGTTTTGGCTGAGCCAAATATGAATTCGGAAGGTAAATTCTTTCATGAGTCCAATCCGGAATTCAAGCTTCAAAATTCGAAAAACCCTCCTTTTCTTCCTTATTTTAGCTTCTTGCTTCTCTTAACTTTCCAAGCTTCTTGCGTGGTTCATCCATTATCTCCTACCTTTAATGATCCTACAAAACACATATAAGCATATTAAAAAAATCATTTTAAGACTTAAAAAAAAATCAAAAAAGAGTTTCTAAAAATTTTTCTCCAACTTTTTTTTCTTTTTCTTAGCCTTAGCTTTAAGTTAGTACTTGGAATTCCCTAAAGATTTTCATCAACATGTTTTTATAAGGAGAGCTAAACCTTAATGCTTCTATAAAATTATGGTATGATTACTACGTATTTTTGAATGTGCATGAATTGTTTGATGGATGCATATTTTGGTTTGTCCTTGGTGAAATTCTTTTGGCATGTGTTGTTATTTTTTTTATGTGAATTTTAAGTGCTATTTGTATGCCATCTTTTGTCTTCATGATGTGGTGCAGCCCATTTATTTAAATTATGATGCAGTTTTTTTTGTCTTTATAAAAATCAGTGTAGTTTTTCTTGGCCTTTGTATTTACGGTGCATACTTGGTTGATGCCATGATTCTGATCCATGCGATGCAGTGTTGATGCCATGTTTCTCTGTAGTCCATCGGTCTTTTATAATAATCCAATGCTTAGATCATTAAAGTTTTGTTAAAAAATAATAATTGGTGTGCCTGGAAAAAAAAACGACACGCTGGATTTATGAAATTGACCCATGCTTTTGAAATAAAGTGACGAATGAAATATTAAGAACACAGCTTCTGGAATATCTTTCTTCTTTGTGCAGTGGTTTCTGGAAGATTGTTTTAAAAAAAATTAAAAAAGGTATGCATATGCTTAATCGTTTTCATTGTTACTCTTTTTCAATTAATCTTTTCTAATTAATCTTTTTCATTGTTACCAAGTTCCTTATAATTTATGCAGTGCTTATAATATCATATTGTTATTATATTGTTAAACCATTAAAATATAGTTTGAAAACTGGTTGAATGTCGAAATAAAGTTCCAAATAAAATGATGTTGTTTTGATTAGGAACCTTAATCCACATTTTCTTTTAAAAAAAATATGATACATTGAATTAGAAAGGCAACGTTTGAATTATAGTGTTTAAGTAGTGATATATATTTCTTACGTGCATAAGTATTGGCTTATTGTTTTCTAACTGGTGCATGATATATATGTAGGTGTTATGGTGCAGCGATAATTTTGTTGTGGTGTAAGTTTTGAACGTGCATGATTTTGGAGATGATGTTTTATTTATTCTTATTGGTTGTTTTATTGGCTAAGTCAATGGAATAAATGTTGCTTGAACGTGCAATTTTTTTTTTTGGAAAGCCTTTGGTATGAGTAAGTGGGGTTTCATAATTTGGCATGAGTTATGGCACATAAAATGGTAGATAAGCATGAAACGAGGATAAGGATAAGGGTATACGTCAATCATATGGTTTTTAGAGTGAAATAGGTGTTGTGCACAATTTTTAAATGGTGCTACTTGATGTTTTAAGTAAGCTGCTGGAATAATCTTTGTTGATTAAAATTTAATGGAATCGGTTCTGGATTTTAATTGATAATGCGTCCAAGCTGTTTTAGAATTTTGGTTTAAGATGATTTTTTTTTGTGTTGTTATGTGTATGATTCATGAAATAAGTTGCTGTTTGTTTTTATAAAATTGAGCTATCAAGAGTTGTTGTTTGTGGTGTAAAGTTGATGTATTGTTGTGGTTTTGGATGGGAGTATGGGGTTTTTGGTTGGATTATGTTGGCTGTTTTTATGTTATATAGGTGTTAAGTGCATGTGCTTGCGATGAGCACATGATGTTTTAGGAATTCTGAAAGTTTATGTCCGAATGGTGTGTGTGAGCATGATGAGATGTTGTTTGGTGGAAGATTTGAGTTGTTGATGTGTTTGGTTGTGTTAAGTTTTTCTTATAGTAATTTTAAAGTCAGGTTTGTACTTTTGCATGTATAAGGTAATGGAAAGTAGTCTTTGTACATCTGAACAGTGGAAAAAGAAGGATTATGGTGTTGTTTATTTCGCCTGTGTGAGTAGGGAAAATGAGTTTTTTTTTGTCTATGAGAAATGAGGTAATGAGAAATGAGGTAATGAGAAATGAGGTAATGGAAAAGGAGAGATTATGATGTAGTTCTTTTTGCCTCTGTGAGACATGGAAAAAAATCCTTGCTGTGACGGTAGATTACGAAAAAATGACATATTGTTGATATTACTTTACGGTAATGTGTGTTCATGTGATGTAAATGTAGTTTGGATTCATTGACGAAATTGTTGATTTGTGAAGTGTGGGTGAGTATGACTATTGTTTATTATCTTGTATTAGTTTTTTGTTAGTTTATCCTTGTTTGTTTATCTGTGTATGTGTGATGATTATATAACTCATGTTATTCTACGAGAGTAAATATGATGATGTCTAGAGTGAGGAAACATGTGATGAAAACTTACACTTTCGTGAGAATTTATTACATCTCGATAATTGAATGGTTTTTTTTTAATTCATTATTTCTTGATGATATTTTATATCTTAATTAAATGAATGTTTTATAAACGTGACATCTTAAAATGGGTGTTAGAAAGAAGTCAGGCTGTTCCTGTACTCGATTTGTTAGAAAATTGAGCTCCATCGAACTCAATAATTAGTACTATGTGTTAAGAGAGGCTTTCTGTTTTCGCAATGTTGGTGCTTTCAGTAGTTTGGTGCTTCTTTATGAAGTATTTTCATGAAATGTCAGATAGAGGCCTTTGGTGTCGTACTGAGCTTGGTGCTTCCTCATGCATTTTCTTCTTGGAGTAATTCTTTGCCTTTAGTGTCTCGTTTGGAGGGCTTTTGTGCTTTAATTGTACTATTTTGGTGTCTTGCTTTGAAGGCTTTAGTGCCTTGTTTAGAGGGCTTTGGTGTATCCCTCGGAGGGGTGTAATATGCTTTTTGGTGTGTGACAATCCATGTTCTAGGTTGACTTACAGAAAACATTTTGACACAAAATCATATATGTTTCTCAAGAAGTTTTACAAAGTTAGGTCATGAAAAATGTGTTTTTCCTATATTTATAAATTTCGTAATGAAAATTCAATCAGACCCATTAATTATCCATTAATAGTTATTATTATTTTCATTAACTACTCATCAATATCGTTATTGATTATTCCTTAATTACTTCAACGACTATCTCCACTAATCGGCTTGTGATTTATTAGCCACTAGCCCACTGGATCCATTGGCCAGATGGGTAGCTGTAAGACCCGTATAAATAAAATGATTTCTTACCTTAAGTATTTTATTTTGTGGTATTATATAATAAATTGTGATGAGAATCAATGTTGAGAAATATTTAGGTAAGGGGTTTAACTTGGGATATAACATAGTGTATGATGGGTAGAAGGTAACAATATAATGTTGTTGCATGCTTTCTTCCTTGTGTGTTGGGATTAAAGTTAACATGTTGAGATTTATTTGAGACCCTTCCCGAAGTTCAAAATAGTCGTATGAGTAGTCAAAAGAAAGATATTTGAGTCTAGTTTCCAACCAATCAAGAATCAACTAAATTAGAGTTTGGTAAAGAGAGTAATGAGCAAAATAGTCATCAAAGGTCAAAGCAAAGCAGACCAGAGCGTGGTTAAACTTCCAATTTTAATAATTTTTCTGAAGCTAGCCCTTTAGTTCAAAAATTACGATTTTTGTGTCCAAAGAAAGATATTTGAGTCTAGTTTCCAACAAATCAAGAGTCAAC